TTATTCATATAGTTATTAACTATTTTTTCAAAGTTTTGAGGTGAAATAAACGGGTAAACTAATGAATTATTTGAAGTCATATTGAAATAAAGAAGTCAAAAAAAAAATATTAAAATCATCTTTATTATTTATATATTTGTAATCATATAGTTTATGCAATTAAAAAGTTTATTAACATTTTAGTTTTACTTTCCGCTTTACTGCAGTTCTTATTTTTCACCCGATAGGAGTTTGATTTTTTTTTTTTAAGTTTTTTTTTTTTTTTAAGCCCGATAGGAGTTTGAACAAAAATACTTAAAGCTAATTTAACATATGTCATATTCTGATCGGTATAAATCTTAAAGTAACACATGTTAATTTAAGACCGCCAGAAGTCATGAATTGACGTAAAACATATATACGTATACAAAAAAAGCTCTAAAAATATAGAAGTAAAAAACTATAATAAATTAAAAAATAAAAATATATTCTTGAAATTATTTAAAAACTTATTAACAGTTTATTAAATTAAAATAAAAACATATTCTTGAGATTATTTAAAAACTTATTAATAGTTTATTAAATTAAAATAAAAAAAAATAAAGTAGTAAAAGTAGATTGCAAAATTTTATCAATAAAATATGGGGTCTTTGCCTTGAAATGACCTTACGGGACTATGCAGATTTTATAAATAAAATTTAAAATTCATAGCTATCCAGTAATTCAATTCAATTAAACTTTTTTTTTTTTTTGTGTAGAACTTAGTGAGTTCTACAAAATAAAACAAAATAAAATATTTGAATTGGATTATTAGTTGGCTAGAAATTTTAATTTTATCATAAAATCTACATAGTACCGTAAGGTCATTTTCGTTATATAAATTATTTTTTACAGATATCTAATTAACTTAAAATTTATATAAATCAAAAATTAGGATCTTATTAAAAATTCTGTGCTCGGCTATGCATATTGCCCGATCATCATTGGCCCTAGTCGTGAAGAAAATTTTCAAAGTTTGATCAAAAATATCTTAATAACTATTTATTAATATTGTCGTTCAAAGTTTGAAAAAATTTAGCCGCGGTCTTTATTTTGATAATACCTCAATAGTTGCTTATCTAAATTCAATGAAAATTTCTTTATCCTAATTCTATGGATCCACAGAGTTAAAATAAGTAGATAATTATCGAGATATCATCGCTCAAAGTTCAAAAAAATCTAGCCGATTATTAAAACAAAGACCGCAGCTAAGTTTTTTCAAACTTTGAACAAAAATATCTCAATAACTACTTGTCTAAATCGATATAAATTTTTCATTTTAACTCTATTGTTCATAAAAATAAGTTATAAAAAATTTTATCGATTTTAAATAACTAGTTATTGAGATATTTTTACTCAAAAACTCCGAAAATTTTCTTCACGGCTAGGGTAACGTAAAATGATCAAAACAAACGTTAGTAGAAAGTTACTTATTTCTCAAAAAACGCATAGATAAATCCTTTCATGCTCTAACAAGAAGTTTCCCTTGAGCAAATTTACTACATTTTCTTCTAATCTCTAACCTTAATCTAGCCGCTATTCTAACATAAATAAACTTTAAGGAATTTTGAGAGATATGTCCCGTGGGAGATGTATATAATTTCCCATACATATAAATATAATTTAAAATCTTTAGATTTTTCTATTTGAGTAATTTCTAACCTATATTCTTCATTTCTAAATATTTTATATATCAAGAATTTTATTTGACCAATGAAATTTTTTATTTTTTTATCATTTTTCAAAAATCTAACAACAGTTTTAACCTTAAATAATAATTTTCTAATTCAATTATGTAGCCATAGACCAGACAGTGTTCCCATAAATCGAACCAAACCAAACTAAACTTAACCTTAAGTTCCGTTCAGTTCAAATTTCAAACTGAACCTGGCTGAATCTATTATAATTGTTCGATAAAAACAATTGTTCGATATCAAACTTTTCGAACGTGTTCGGGTTTGGTTCAAGTTCAGTTCAAAAGTTCATAAACTTGTTCGGGTTCGATATACTTACTAACAAAAAATTTATAAAAAATTTTTCGTTAAAAAAATTTACATTTCATTACATCTTGTGTCACTTACAACAAGACCTTTCACCTTCTTTGTACCACGTCTAAGTTCTAGATATCTATTCCTGCCTCTCTTATACCCTTCCTGGAAAAGCAAAACTACAGAAGAAAGAAAACATTAATGTGAATGAACACAAGAAAGAAGCAAAAAACAAAATTAAACCAATGTTTATTTTTATACTGACTCTGGGTTCCGGATCATTCCACCTCCTTTATACTCTTCCTGACAAAACACTAACTATAGAAAAACAAGAAAATAACAAACTAAACTGGTATTTATCTTTGCACTAGTTCTGGAACCAGACCCCATTCCGCCTTCCTTGTACCCTTCCTGGCGAAGGCAAACCCTACAAAAAAACAGTGAGTGGTTAAATATATGTTAGATTGCAACAATTTACTGTAAAATATTAAGTTACAGAGCTTACCATCTATTACAGTGACACACACTAAGTGGTTAAGACTATGTTAGATTAATAGTATTGACTTGTATTAAATTTAGTTACAGAACTTACCGGCTATTGTAGTGATACGCAATAAATGGTTAAGTTTACATTAGATTGTATTAATATTATATGATTTGTGTCGTAATTTATGTAAAAACTTTATTTACAGAACTTACCGACTGAAATGATCATTAAGTGGTTAAGTTATGTTAATTGATTGTATTAGCGTTAGTATTATGTGACTTGCATCTAATTTACTATAAAATTTCAATTACAGAAACTTACCGGCAAGGTTGGCAATGGTTATACTCTATAGAAAAAATTACCAATGGAGCCAATGGAGTGAATTGAGTCAAGATACTAATGGAGAACCTAATGGAGCCAGCGGAGAACCCAGTAGAGCTAATGGCTCCAATAGAATATCTAACGAAGCCGATGAAGAATAAAGTTCTAATCTCATATACCGATAGCTCGACCTGTTGATAAACAGGTCAAACGGATCAATGTCAATGGAGTTGGTTGGCTTCCATTGGGTCCATTCTCAATGTAGCAATAGAACAATGTCAATGGAGTTGTTCTCCATTCGTTCCAATGGATAAATGTGCCAACCATGCTTACCGGCTATTACAGTAACACACACACAAATGTATAATAGATTATCTCGTGCGAATATAAAATAATTATCATACTTCAGATACAAATTATTGCTCATTTAAAAACTTTATTCAGTCCTTACACTAATTTCTAGTTCTCTAGAATATTAAGGTATAACTAGGTATTTATTTTTTTTATTACTTTATATTAGAAACTTGAAGAAAATTAAGATGCTAAGTATATTCTTAATAGAGAGTACCATTAAAACTCTTAGAAATGGACAACACAAAAAATTGTCAAAATAATGTATACCAGATATTTTTTAAATTTATTAATCACGTTTAACATTATGTGTGATTATAGCAATGTAATGTTTTAAGAGTTTTATATAAGCAGTGCAAAGAATAAGTATTGAAGGGATTGAAAAGTTTAATCATTATGCAAAAGTTTTCTTTGGTTTTGAATGTACAGTAATCTACTAATTTTTTTCGTAAAATCAAATTTAATAAAATTTTTAGAGTTCAAAAAGCAAGGATTTAAAATACATTCAAATTCACACTACTAAGACTAATGAATTTTCTTTTACATACAATTTGAATTTCCAACATGGATTAATGTTTTTTTTACATCCTTTATTGATGACTCTTCTCTATAATAAGGATGGCGTCACGCAATTCTCAAATCTTTTCGCATACTATTTTATTTCCTTTGAATAAAAATACGAATTTTTACAATATAAACTTTTCTTATCCATACCAACATGCCTGTAAATAAACAAATTGTAATGCGACAAATTACAAGATTCTAAAATGAGCATAGTAAGGTTTACAATAACTACCAGCTACGTAAAGCATATTACTATACATTCATTATATTTTACAGCTATCCAAAAATCACCACATTAAGATCGTAAAAAAGTTTCTCTGGTGGCATTAAAACAAATAAAAATAAGACGAAATAAGAATAACTATACAGTGAAGCTAACCAGATAACGAGCACCTATACCAATCGATAAATAAATAATACAATAAACTATGGATATTTTACAGTACATGTATGATAAATAATAAATAACAAAAAATCAAAGAAAAATTATAAGAGATGTCATCATATCGGGAACAAGCAACATCTATCATCATTTTTCACATGGATGGTATATTTGCATTCGCTGCAGTGAGATGTTCGGCCTTTTTTCCAACTGCTTGTATTGTCTGCTTTTGGAGGTCAGATAATTCTTTACGAGAAATAAAACATTCTAAAATGTCATGAATAGATCTAGTTTCAGGGCGATTTTCGGAATCCTCGTCCCAACATCGCTTATAAAGTGCAACATATTCTCTAGGTGTGTCTTCTATAGGAGTCTCTCTCTTTCCGGTATATACTTGACTAACAATTAGCCATTGAGAGAGTGAACGAAATGGAGCTCGACCACTTGTAATCTCCCACAAGATGAAGCCTAAACTATAAATGTCAGATTTTTTATTACGTTTATATGAATCATCCCTATAACATTGTGGATCGATGTATGCAGGTTGCCCATAAACAATAGATCTTGAGCCCGAAGCTTTATCTAACCGTTTAGACAAGCCAAAGTCGGATATCATCATTTTTCCTTTGTGAACCAATATATTTTTGGAATGCTATACAATATTATAAATGTATGTGAAATTATCAGATAATTGTTAAATAATTGTATAGAGTATATTTGTACTTACAAGGTCAAGATGAATTATATTATTAGCATGCAAAAATAGAAGACCTAATGTTATTTCCCCAGCAATACGTAGCTTATCATCCCAATTAAGTTTGGAAAAGTTTTTTACTAAGTAATTTTGTAAATCGCCACCTTCGGCAAATTGTAAAATCACTTTATAATTCTCTGTTGGATCTATTTGATAAAATAGTTAAGTTTAAATCTGTTATAGCATGTCCAGGCAAAATAACATACTTACGTTTAGTTACACCATAAAATTGAATGATATTCGGGTGAAAGCCAATTTTTTGTAACATCCGAAGCTGTAATGGATTTATTTGTAATTAAATTAAATTTTCATCTTAAATTGTTTTTAAATAACTCAGTACTGTACAGTACCTCTTTAACAAATTCCTGATTAGTCTTTACTTTCTCATCAACATCCTGATTAGCATCATCATCAATCTCTAAATTTTTTAGACCTTTAAGAGCAACTGTTAATTTACATTCTTCCCATACGCATTTGAATACAATTCCAAAACCGCCTCTACCGATTTCTTTCATATCAGTAAATTTATTGTAGTCAAATTCGTTAATATACTCATCAGAAATAGCTTTTTCTAGCCATTCTTCCTTTAATGAAGCATTTTTAAGTGGTTCTTCTTTTAAAGAAATATTTTTAATTGGTTCTTCTTTTAATGAAATATTTTCAATTGGTTCTTCTTTTAAAGAAATATTTTTAAGTGGTTCTTCCAAAGCGCTTCCCATAGTTTTTTATTAAATATCTGTATATCTACGAGTTTGTAAATCATGCATTTTAATATGCTTTAATTGTTTTTGTAGCACGTTACAACTATTAAAGTGGTACGTACGTACAGAGGAAATATTCACAGAATTTCTTTTTATTACACAAATCTTAGTTCATATAATTAAGACATCGAAAGTAAAATTTCCAATGTTAATAAATAGTCCACTATGCATTTTGAGTTTCTATTGTAATATGTCAAAATTAGTTATTTCTTTGGTAAATTGTAAATCCATTTCTCGGAGCAGAGCATTAATTTATAAACAGACGAGAAAAGTCTAGAATATTCTAATTTCAAGTGACCAATACAGTATTACGTACGTACGTACGTACGTACGTCGAGGGAGATCGTTCTACAAAGGGAAATGGTTACACAACTAATAAATTTTTTTTATATACTGTAGTTAGAGTACTTTTCGAAGCCATTGTATATAAAGCGTGATGAAATAATATGTGAAAGATAATTGATGCGTGACAAATAGGATCACATGAACCAATCATATCTGAGATTTAGCCATTTAAATTGCTATATAACCATACACTCCACTGCATTACGTTCCTGGAAAACCATACATTCCATTGAATTATGTTACTGGTAATGTAACCATCGTAAGGGAGAGCTTGGTATTGTCATGCCGAGTTTAACTCCGATGGTTAACGTTAGAAGGGTCACATGAATTGGTAATGAGATAATAAATTATGGTATTCGGATATTCATGATTTATTAGGCATTTATTATAAAAAAGAATGTGAATATATGTGACCTTTATTTATAGAGGAATTTTGGGAGAGCGAATGTTATCCTCAACTAAGGATGAAGACACACTCTTATATACATTCTAATTTTACAGATTGTCATCATGGGGATCTCAACGCTTACGCTGCAGATTCCATATTTGCCCAAGGCGCAATGATCACAAGTTTATGCAATCGCGTATGCTGAGCGTAAACGCTCTTGCATGAAATAAGCTACCAAAAATTTATAATAATGCCCAATACTACTAAGGTAAGATTAACATTATTATGATGGTACAATTATGGAAGGTGAGTGACAACTTAAAGAATTAAACAAATACGGAAAAATTAATCGTGCGAATTGAAAAAATGGAATATATGGAAGAAATAAACAGACATTCATAAAAAAAATTTATAATTAAAAATTAACACAAATGCCCCCTTGTTCTTGGCGTTCAAATTACTACATGTTATATTGAGAGTTTCAAAATTAACAAATAAGTGGCGCATTTCGAAAATGTAGGATTTTTTAAATAGGATTTTACTATGTTGAATTATAAATCGGAAAAATAAAATAAGGTTCTCTGATTTTAATTTTGAAACTCCATTAACATTAAGCTCTAGCGAAAAACAACAAACAGCTTAATCAAATGAATATCGAGGCATATATTCAGTAAAGTTTAGCATAAATATCTTACATAATCATAACGAAATTGAATTGCTTTAAGGTAAGAAACAAATGAAAAAAATTTAATCAATTAAAGAGTTATTCCCAAATTTGACCTTTATGTAAGTATACTTTCAAATTAATATCGAGAATTTAATAACCGTATTAGGGAGTTTCAGAATTAACTTATTTAAAAATAATAAGTGAGATTTAAAAGATCATAATTTTTGTTTTAAAATTTCTAATAAGAAAATTATGGTAAATAGGCGTAATTAGTGATAAAATTAACTTCTTTCATAAATACCTCTTGTAAGCGATTATTTAAATAAATATATACCTTAAAAAAAAAAAATAGGCCTGTACGTCGCTTCTTTTGAAATAAATACGTAACTTATTTTATCGGAAATCTGACGTCGAATCATTAATTCTGAAATCTATTAATTAAGCCCTATGTATATCGAGTTTGGCGGAAGAATTCGATATTAAGTAAATTTCCAAATAAACATCCACTGATCTTAAAAAAAAATTTAATCAAATTGACATGGACTTGCAAGACATCTCTTATCGAAAAAGGAGAAGGGGAATGATAAATAAAGTCTGCAAAAATAGGTTGAAACCATTGTGTAATTGAGACAATTAGAGACCTGTCAATTATTCAGGGATAGTAATAGCTTTGATTTATTGAATGACGAATTACAAAATTAATTAATTAAAGTGTTTGAACTAGAAATATGCCTCTTTCTAGCACATTCGATGTATAATTTAGTAATAAAAATATATGAAGTTTCATATACGGGTAACAAAGTGCATTCCTCCGAATGTAAATTAATCAATATATGCAGTAGTTATAATCAGTGTTTAAAATTCAAAATTGATTTTATGTTCTCAAAAAAACATTTTTTAAAATTTTAATGTTCTCAAAAATTTTTTAATGTTCTCAGTATTAGAAAATCAAAATTTTTTAATATTAAAAAATTTTGTTAAATGTTCTCAAATAGAGAACATTTTCCAGTAATTCATGTTCATAAAAATTGTTAAATGTTCTCTGAGAATACTGAGAACATCAAATTTTAAACACTGGTTATAATTATACTCCCTAATTTAATGATTATATCTTAACACAAAGGAAAAAAGGAAATTTTGTCCCAACGAAAAAAATTCAATTATATCATAAAGGTTACAGATGATTTTGTAAGATTTTAATTTTGAACCCTTCATTGACTTTAACCTGAATAGTTACATATTCAAATGAGAAACGAAACTTTCTAAAATGGTCAAATTTTTCAGTTGATGACTGTATTGTCTTCTTGGAATGTATATTATTTAGGTATAGTGGGGATGACAATTATTGCTGGACCTCATTTTCGTAAGAATAGGGGGTTTCAGAGTTAACTTATTTGAAAATAAGTAGGGGGTTAATTTTTGGTTTGAAATTTCTAAATCAGAAGATAAAATAAGTAATCTTTTTTTGATAATATAGATCATACTTATCAGTCATACGATGAGTGATCGACATCCATATAATCGATCCATTTTTCATAGTAAATTACAATGGTAGGCCCTCTTCAAATGGCTTTTTCAGGGGTTTCCTAAAAGGAAACCATAATCACGAGATAATGAATAGCGCTTTAGTTAAATACGCACTTTCTTATTTTTAAGTCTAAAGTAAGATAAGTTCCAAAGCTGAGAAGAATCACACCCTTAAAGTTGGTCTTTTGTTTTACTTTACATATACCTTTTATCTTGCTTTGAAAGCTTTTTTTTTTAAGTATAATAATAAACTTACTAAAGTTATTTAACATTCTAAACTACAGAACTATTTAGAGATTACCAACGAAGATTTATTGAAATTCAAGCAGAGTTATAACTGACCAAGTAAATTAAATCAGAATTGAAGGAATTAAAGAATGCTTACTACTATGGTATTACTACAGTACTAATATAGTTTTTAAAATTTTAGATGAAACTATCAATGAAAACCTTAATGTAGACAAAAAAACTTTAGCAGTAGATTATTTAAGAATTATACGAAGTCAACTTTTTGAACAGGTTAGGTTGGATTAAACTACTTTCAATATGAGATTAAAGCTATAGTTAACTTAGGTAAAGTTAATTGTATTGAATATTTTTTTTAAAAAAATTTTTTATTAAAAAATAAATTATACAGTATGATCTTTATTTTATATTTCCTACCAAAATTTTTTTAATAAATATCAAAATTTTAATTTATTCATCAAAGCTAATAACTAATAAGCAATTTCTTAGTAAAAAAAATATGAAAATATATCTTTTTGTAGTTACTTTGACTAAAATTTATATTCTGTGCCATGAATCCAGTAAAATTAATCATGATAGTAATGACTAGCAAGCCACGTCAAGGCAACTGCTTGAAAACTCCCTAATGCTAATGCTAAATAAATATTAATAATTAATAAATAATTTTTGAAATAAATAAATAAAGAAATAAATAACCTTTATACTTATCATTATATTGATACAGATAAATAAATCTAAATAAGATAATAAGTATTAGCAACCTTTAAATAGCATAAAAAAATTTTTCCCAAGTAAAAAATAAAACAAAAATGTCAATTTATTAAGTGATCTATGTACTGAAAAACAGTTTTTCTTGATTTTCTTCATTACAGTTATAATGTACCAGCCCTTCGCACATGCATTTTGGCGAAAGCTCTACCTCTGATGCACCTAATAGATCATTTTTTGAGCTAATAAGTTGTTAACCTGAGAAGAATCAAACGAAAGTAGTCAAAATAATTGCACATATTCAAGGAAGTGGTAATTTATAAGGAAAAGGTCATTTTTTATATTTCTCATACCATTTGATTCGTAAAAACCTCGGTAACAGTTTTGTTTTAAGAAACAGTACGTGTTGGGTTTAAGGTTTTGGCAAAATTTTTAAAAATGCAATTTCGTCAGTTTGTGTAATTTGTGAAGATCATATGATAAAATTTTAGATGTGACAAATCGTGTGACTGTTATTATATAAATAACCATACAAATAAAAATAGGGAAAGCCTATTTCCACCATGGAAATTTACTATTTACACCATTGGCCTTAATTTATTGTAACAATGTTCGTCATGTATATATAGCTAAAGGTCATGTGAAAAACATGGTGAAATAGTAAATTTCCATGGTGGTAATAGGCGCTCCCTAAAAATAATAGGATTTATAGATTACTGATTACGAAATAAATCCATCACTAATTTAATTCAAAATCAGAAACTTGAACCTTAGGTCTGAAACTCTCCAATGGACAGAATTGGGTGCTGTACTTTTATGCATTTGAATTGGTAAGCATTAATTTACATTTTATTAATTTAAACTTGAATTTGATTCAAGAATGCGAGCAAGTTTTATAAATCTTTCTAGTAGATGTGTTATTATGGTGTGATTCCCCGAAGGTTATTCATTTCCCCGACACCGTAATGTCAACATGCTATTTCATCTATAGTGCATTTTTTGATAAAACATATATTTGATATTACATTTTTATACAATCCTTTTTTTAGACAAGAAATTTCTTCAACAATTATTTCCCTGACGTATATTT